CCATGGATTATTAAACTTTTAAGTATGAAAAATGTTATTCATCCCCAGTGGGGATGGATCCCCAATCTATGTGGATATAAATAATTGGTTAAATGATAGATGAAATTAAATGACTTATTTAATTTCACATATCATTTAATGCCACATTAACGCCACGTAGATTGGGGATGAATAGCATTTCTCTTTAAGTATATGTTGGATAGTTTTGAGCCCCTGTTTGAGTCACATTAATTTTTTCATTCTCATTTTTTACTCATTTTCAACCACACATTTCAATAAAATAATATTTTCTATCACATCAATAACTTTTCCTTCATTTTCAATCACACATTCTCCATCAATCTACTATTCCAAAATACATTCTTCTAAAATAATGTGGTTCAAACGCATCTTAAACATTATTACTAAAATAACTCAAAATCGATCTGCTTATAAACACTCAAAACAAGTATTTTAAAAAATGCTCATAATTGGTACATCGAAACTCTCAAATAGGCCATAAGGTGTATTTACACTTAATTTATGTATTACATTTTCACGTACGATAACAAAAAACAACTTTTGCTACAAAATTACCAAATTTCCAATAATTAAAAATAAATAATTACACCATTTGTATTCAATTAGGTAACGATTTACATACTAATTTCTTTAACTATGATTTTTTATTCTTCAAAAGTTCAATTATTATTTCATTTCAATCCAAAACTAATTATTTTTACTCTCATTCATTCATTCATCCATCTAATTATATTAATATTCTTTTCTATGCATCATTTAGATATTAAAAAAAAAATCATTTCATTTTCGCACAAATTATATGTTTTATTATTATATTTGCACATTCTTCTCTTCTATGAAGTTTTCTCGAATAAAAGAAAAAATAATCCACAATAAATATCAATAATTACGAATGCATTCATAACAATTTTTTAAAGTTACAAAACTCCCGCAACTTAAAATGAATAAACAATGATTTTTAGCTGGAACATAACAACTAATATAAAAAAAATTACTTTAATTGATTGTTTTAAATTTTTATTCATTGAACAAAAAATATTAATTAAAAAATATTAATTAAGACTTTTATTTATTTTTACAGTGTTGAAAGTGTCAAATGAAGGATTTTCAATATTTATCGATATGTTAATAACTTACTAAATGTACGAGCTTAGGAAAAGAATATTACACATTTCATAAATCTCACAATAAAGCTTTTAAAAATGAGCATTTAATGAAAATAAATAATGCAAATCGTTATATAAAATAATATACATGGTGAGATTTTGTTAGGTTTTGTGACAAAAATTCTATGTGATTTAGAATTTTGTTGCATAAAGGAAGTCAAAGGTATTTGAGTTAAATTTTATCAAGAATTGAAAATTTCGCGTGGAAAAGGACTTGGAGATGAAGTAAAACACTTTGGAATGGAAAAGAAAAAAAATATAATAATTTCAGCAGGCCCGGTGCTGGACGCCGCGGTGTTGGTGCCCCTGAACGGGGCAGGGAACCCAACGCTGAAGCGCCGAGCTCGGGCGCGGTGGCACCCGGGTGGGAGCCTTGGCGCCTCGGTAGAGGATTGTTCGCATTTTTCCTTTTTATCCGAATTTTGGGACTTCTTCTTCATCTACAACTTCGAGATTTAGTTTCTATAAATACTCCACAAGGTATAGGCACTTTAAAGATGTGAAAAATGAAAGACTCAAGAGATATTATAACAATTAGATTATTATTGTATACATTAGAAATAAGAGAGAATTATTTAGATTAGATTGAAATTATCAAAATCTTGTAAGACAATTGTTTGTTTCACAATTTTCTTGATTGTTGTGTGATCCATTAAATTTCATATTGTTCATATTTTTCGCTTTAATTATTTTGTCTTTTGAAATAGCATATTTGTAAATTTTACAATAAAATCTGTTTTTGTAATCATTATGCAAAAATGTAAATTCACGAAAGATATAGGCAAAGTGTAATTACACCATGTATAAATGGTGTAATTGAGAAATTTGTTGGTTATCTTTTCCACTAATCAAGTAATTTTTGCGTCTGTAAAATATTAGTTAATTTCTAGATGGTGGGACAGTACGTTGGCTTATTTTAGATGTGAAAACTTAGACAATGAAATTCTCTCTTAGAATCAACATTTCAACATCGCGTACTAGAATTATGTACATGAAACGCGATGTAATTGGTGTGTAGTTAGAATTTAGCGAACTTCAGATGTAACATCTTACCTACTTTCTATCATAATAGAAATATGTGTTATACGCAAAGAAAACCCACTATAAATATTATGATCGTTTGCTCGTTCATCTTAAAGGCTAGAGCCATCGAAAAAGAATTTTAATAGAGCATTATCCGTAAATAGAAGATAGTTATACGTATGAATGAATGAATTCTAATAAGCTGAATTGTGGTTAAAATTTAGAAATGACATTCTTCATCCAACAAACCAGTATCAAATTAAAGGCATGTTTGTTAGGATTAGTCAGAGTTGAACGTGCATTACACATTATTTTGAGATACTTAATAAGTACTGTAAAATTAATATTTGATAAGAGGATTTGACGAGTTTCAAATGAACTAAAGAAAATAAAATTTAGAATAGAAATTAAGAGAAGAAAATTGTACTTTCAAAACTCAATTTATATTATTCAATCTTTTTGGTGATGATAAAATACTACAAATAAGCAACTTTTTTACATTACACTTGGTACATAAGAATTAATTGTTAATATATGAATTTAAACAACCATTAAAATTTTTAGATACGTGAATATAAATAAATTCATCTATAATAACTCTAGATTCATCAAGTCAAGATTCATTGAGTTTATGTTAATGTGAACGTTAATTAATTGAGAATCAATAACAAGAAATTCATACATGACAATGATTTTTTAGTATTTATTATATATTGAAAAACAAAAAATAAGGAATTATTAATATAATTGAATTGTAATAGGGTTAAAATCGTCCAAAAATAATTCTCGCTTGATCTGATATTTAATATATTATAGATTTATGTATTTTGTAGAAGATCTTACAACTTTCCCTAAAAACTCTTCTAACTTGATAAAACACTTCAAAAAAATTTCTAAACGAATTCAAAAAAATAAAAATAAAAAAATCTTACTTTCAAAAACAACTTTTGACTTTTTAAAAGTTTAGCCAAACATGCCCTAATGGTTTTAATAAGAAGTAACGAATGAAAATAGACTGGTTAGCGTTTACACCATGTCAAAAAATTCAAAAGATCAAGATTTCGACGTGTGTAACGTCTACAATAATGGATTAAGAATTTAATTGATACATTTTTGCTACTCGATTAGATTGTAGACTTATTATATGAGATATCGATCCGCTTAATTAAATTGACTTTTAGCTCAAATGAATTAAGGAATCAAATGGGTCCCAACAAAATTGAAGATTTTATACGTACGTACACATGCCATAGGAAAAGCTAGAAAGTCATTAGAAAAGATAAATGAAGCCGACGAGCAAAAACAAAAACATCACTAACAATTGAATAAATTACTATTATAATTAAACCATTATCAACAGTATTTATTATGGTAGTGACTGCTGTGACAATTTTTGGAAAAATGCATTATTCAATTAATAATGCTATAAAAAGAATAATTAATTAAGTGATTCTTTATAATTAATTTTAATAACACAATTTCTACGTCCACATTTTTTTATTAACTTTTCAACTGCATATTTCGTTGATTTTTATTAAAATCTGCTAAAACTTTTATTAAAAGTTCTAGGAAACAAAGTTTAATCCCATCGTGTGGCACAAGTGTGACGATTTTGCCTACGTGGACGTCTACGATTAAGAATTTTAATTATGCCCTAGCTGTTACCTAATTCTCTCTGCTTATTGTATAAGCACAATCTTTTAGAGTCAACCAAATCATCAAAGATTATGAAATGAAATATGCCTACCCTTCCTCTTCCTAGGGGTCAAAGTATTAATTAACCAATTATTCCAGTTTTCTTTTTTTTTTTTTTAACTATATTTTATAAAATAAGTTTATTTTCAAACATTATCTTGGAATAATATTTTTCACAATTTTAATGTCCATGTTTTGAGGGACAAATTAATAATCAAAAGTCATATGTTTAATATAATAAATCAAGTTAAGTAATGAATTTTTTTTATGAAATAATTGAATTATATAAGTTCAAATTATTGGGAGATTGAAAATATTTACCTGATTAATTAAAGATTCCTTGGCATTATCAGTGATTAGCTTCTAAAAAACAACACAAATGACAAAATTAATGCTATAAACCGCAGGTTGCCTAAGAACTCTCACTTCTCCTATTCAAAGAATGTTCTAAAATGAAAGATGGCTACTGTCTTGACATCTAATGACTGTCACCTTCAAATTTATATTATTTCGAGTACGTTATTTACACGAGAAAAGTGCCCTAACAACGACGGAATATTGAACGCTCGAGTTTTTAGTCGACATTATTATTTGAAAGATGAAATTTACTTACTAATGAAGCCTTAATGAGATTTTAAGGGAGACAACTTCAAAAACACTTTAAACACTAAGAATAAAACTATGATTTTATGCTCTCTCACTTTTTCAAATTAACTGAGTATTAGTCTAATTAACTAGGGTAAATTATTGAATTATAAGCTGCCTAATCAATAGGGATTAAAACATTTAAGTAAAATTTATTTACTATGCTTGATAATGATTGCTTTCATTAATGATGCTAGCACAATTAAAAAATATAATGAAATATATAAATTAAAAGGCATACTTAATATACTGATAGTATCATTTAAAGGAAGAAAATAGTGTTATCAAGGAAGAAAAAGGAGGAGCTAAAGCACTTTCCTTGGTCCATATCATGTCTACTCAATACCCCATTTTCATGATTTGATTTTCCACTTAAATTTTGTTCATTTTCAATTATATCTTCTCTATCAAGAAGAATTCACCGTAAGGAGAAGAAAAATCGGAGGGACTATGTCGTCGAATGATCAGGGAGAAGGATCGTCATCAAGATCAGCTTCTGCATCTGCTGATAATCATCATCCTCATCAGCAGCAGCAGCAACAACCAGCACAATTGAGTCGATACGAATCCCAAAAACGTCGTGATTGGAACACTTTTGGACAATATTTAAGGAATCAGAGGCCTCCAGTGGCCTTACCCCAGTGCAGTTATAATCATGTGCTAGATTTCCTTCGATACCTCGACCAATTCGGAAAAACTAAGGTACATGTACAAGGTTGTGTCTTTTTTGGACAGGTTGAGCCAGCAGGGCCTTGTACTTGTCCCCTTAGGCAAGCATGGGGTAGCCTCGATGCCCTTATCGGCCGACTCCGGGCTGCTTTCGAAGAGAACGGAGGCCTGCCTGAGACTAACCCTTTCGCTAGTGGCGCTATACGCGTATATCTACGTGAAGTACGGGACTCCCAGGCGAAGGCCCGGGGAATCCCGTACAAGAAGAAGAAGAAGAAGAGGAATCAAATGAAGGGTGCCATTAATGAAGGCACATCCTCCAGCTTTCAGATGTAATACCCCCTTCTATATTATTGCTTTCAAAGAATGGTAATTGATTAAATTTCCATATTTTGCTGCTTTTTATCTTGAACTTCTACCTCATAAATGTAGTAATATTTACTTTTAATGAAGAGATATGTGGATCAAAATGTTTGATATATTTACTCTTTTTCTTGTGTGATTTAGATATATCATAGATCATTATTTGAAATCAAAATCCCCAAACAGATAGAAGAATTTATTCAGTAATCCAATTCTGGGTATTTTATATCTTCTTGTTGAACCCTAATTTAGCCCTCTTAAACCCTAATTTTCATACCCTCTTCCAAGCATATACAGAAACTCAATATATTGAAGGACATGGCGTATTTATGCACACGCACACGCACTCGCAATCTTTCTTCAAGAAATTGTGCAAATCACAGATTTTATTTTTTATTTTTTTGAATTTAATATTTCTTAGATATATATTTATAATGTTTACTTTTTTGATCTTTTGGGATTCTGCACCATCTTGTGCTCGCCATGGCTGTCCCTTGAGCATAATAGCTAACAAAAAAACTATTAAAAAAAATAGATACATCAGTTGTTAAATATATAATTTGCTTGTCAAAACACATCATCATATACATATAGCAAGTGAAATTCATTTCTAATGTCCTCTAGTTGCTTATTTTTTTCTGTGTTTCAGTATCTAAAAATGCTCCTTTGTCTCTTCCACAAGATGAGGAAATTTTTCACATCTATGAAATAGTACTTGAATTAGGCCCTTCTTAACTAGTTGATTTGATCACATGACAGTAAATTTATCTTGCAGATTTTAAAAAAATTCTGAAACTCGATTCGATATGACTTGCCTTGCTGGGAACTATATATTGATCATATGAGAAGAGAAAAAAGTACTAAATATAGGTCATATTATTACCATCAGACAATGTTGTCTTTTACTTCAAAACTTTGTTCTATTCAATTTTTGTACCTTAAGATTAATTTCCATTTGATTTCTGCATAGGGATACATTTTTGCATACATGATTTTAAAATTATATGCATATTCTTCTAGTCTTTTTACTTAATTATTGTGATTTTATACATATAATTCGGTTAATTAATTAGAACTAGAATTAATAACATATCATTTTTATGGGATTAGTGTTTTTTTTAAAAAAATTAATGTATTTTTATTAGAATTTTTTTGTTATATTCTATTTGGAAAATGCATCTCTCATTCCCATGATCTCATGTAAACTAGCTCCTTTGTTTTCAAAAAATTTCCATAAAAACTCCATCTTATATATCTCATCACATTTTATTTTTTTATCATTACGAAAGTAATTTGAATATTTTATTAAAACATACTCCAAAAAAATTTAGTTTTGCGACGAGACTGCTCGTACTTGGTACCTCAAGGGATTCAGGGAAGCAAGGATGGCAGTCGAAAAGCTAGTGAAATTTTTTTAGCATTTGCATAACTATTCTAACCATTTTTGTATACATATTAGTGCTTGTTTGTCTCCCATTTTGGGAGAAGAAATACAGTTTTGAATAGTATTTTTTGGAGAATGTGTGGTTGAAAAGTAAAGTAATTTTATTGGTTTGTGTGTAAAATATTTTATTGAGTGAATATATGGTGGAAATTGTTTACTGTATCAAGTAATGTTTGGTAAAATGGATAACGGACAGGGGCTTATTCATATAATTATTAGATTAGGTTGTTTTTGTGAACTAACATTATTCAATTAATGATCATAATTTAATTCTATACTGCATTTTTATTGCAAATCTGTAGTGTTAATATCTCAAGTATGAATATATATATAGATATATATATACACACACACGAAAGATATTGACACCACAAGAAAAATCATAATATAATTAAGAAGGATATTTAAATATCTTTCCTAATCATATTTTATGATTTTATTTTTAATTTTCTTAATATATAAATAAAATAATATCAGGCCCATACTTGGTACCACCACTTAGGACCATCGGATTCCTTCTTGGCCACATCAAATTATCATATGATTTGATTGTATCTGCATTTCAATTGACAAATTAAGAAAAAACTTTTCTTCAACTTACAGATTTAATATTGACATTTAGAAGGTGTTTGATGGAGATTAAAATTAAATTTTTAGTAGATTGTGATATAGGTTTTTGAAATGTATGGTTCAAAAGTTGTGGGACCCATAAAAATGTAGTTAATATTGATTGTTTGACTTTGATTTGGATTAAAATCAGATTTTAATTCAGACCAAACATGGGCTCAAAACTTTTATCTGCATCTTCCCGACCAAAAGGATTTGCAAATACTAATACACAACGAGATATATAACGATTGCCATCAATCTTAAATCATTCTAGATTTCTCCATTGAGAGAGTGCCAAAAATCAATCTTGATATGCTTAATTTTTAGCCTTATTCTTCATTTCTTAATTGGACCACTATCCCATGGTCCTTGCAAGAAGGTAAACAGTCAAAAGACTTGTTAAAGTATCTATCATTATTAATTATTTTGACATTAATATAAAGTCTTTGCACCTTGTTATTTAATTTTTACAATTCAATTCTGGTTGTTGACTATTACAATGCAAGATATTTCGTGGATATTAAGGATGATGGACTTTTTATGTACATGATTTATTAAGTGAGAAGAATGTTTCATAAAATAGACTTATATATAGGAATTTTCATCTCGACCTTAAAAAAGTATTTTTTTTCTTACGATATCTTGACCTGAACAAACAAATTTCTATACTAACTCTCCTAATATTCGACGACATATTTTTCTTGTTGTCCTTTTCATTTTCTAGAAGTAAAGGACTTTTCATATACGAAACATAAATTAAAATCACATTTTTATTGGCAAGTTGAACTTGAGACATGGTGTCCATTCCTAAA